ATATAAAATCAATGCACAGAAGTCAGTGGCATTCCTATACACCAACAACAAGACAGAAGAAAGAGAAATTAAGGAGTCCATCCCATTTACAAGTGCACCCAAAACCATAAGATACCTAGGAATAAATCTAACCAAAGAGACAAAGGATCTGTACTCAGGAAACTATAAAATACTCATGAGAGAAATTGAGGAAGACAAAGAAATGGAAAAACGTTCCATGCTCATGGATTGGAAGAACAAAAATTGTGAAGATGTCAATGCTACCTAGAGCAATCTACACATTCAATGCAATCCCCATCAAAATACCGTCTACTTTTTTCAAAGAAATGGAACAAATAATCCTAAAATTTGTATGGAACCAGAAAAGACCCCGCATAGCCAGAGGAATGTTGAAAAAGAAATTTGGTGGCATCGCAATTCTGGACTTCAAGCTCTATTACAAAGCTGTAATCACCAAGACAGTATGGTACTGGCACAAAAACAGACACATAGATCAATGCAACAGAATAGAGAGCCCAGAAATGGACCCTCAACTCTATGGTCAACTAATCTTCAACAAAGCAGGAAAGAATGTCCAATGGAAAAAAGTCTCTTCAACAAATGGTGTTGGGAAAATTGGACAGCCACATGCAGAAGAATGAAACTGGACCATTTTCTTACACCACACACAAAAATAGACTCAAAATGGTTGAAAGACCTAAATGTGAAACAGGAGTCCTTCAAAATCCTAAAGGATAACACAGGCATCAACCTCTTCGACCTCAGCTGCAGCAACTTCTTCCTAGAAACATTGCCACAGGCAAGGGAAGCAAGGGCAAAAATGAACTATTGGGACTTCATCAAGATAAAAAGCTTTTGCACAGCAAAAGTAACAGTCAACAAAACCAAAAGACAACTGAGAGAATGGGAGAAGATATTTGCAAATGGCATATCAGATAAAGGGCTAGTATCCAAAATCTATAAAGAACTTAAACTCAACACCCAAAGAACAAATGATCCAATCAAGAAATGGGCAGAAGGCATGAACAGACATTTTTTCAAGGAAGACATCCAAATGGCCAACAGACACATGAAAGAGTGCTCAACGTCGCTCGGCATCAGGGAAATCCAAATCAAAACCTCAATGAGATACCACCTCATACCAGTCAGAATAGCTAAAATTAACAAGTCAGGAAATGACAGATTTTGGCAGGGATGCAGAGAAAGGAGAACCCTCCTACACTGTTGGTGGGAATGCAAGCTGGTGCAGCCACTCTGGAAAACAGTATGGAGGTTCCTCAAAAAGTTGAAAATAGAGCTACCCTACGACCCAGCAATTGCACTACTGGATATTTACCCCAAAGATACAAATGTAGTGATCTGAAGGGGTATGTGCACCCCGATGTTTATAGCAGCAATGTCCACAATAGCCAAACTATGGAAAGAGCCAACATGTCCATCGACAGATGAATGGATAAAGAAGAGGTGGTATATATATACAATGGAATATTATGCAGACATCAAAAGGGAATGAAATCTTGCCATTTGCAACGACGTGGATGGAATTGGAGGGTATTATGCTGAGTGAAATAAGTCAATCAGAGAAAGACATGTATCATATGATCTCACTGATATGAGGAATTCTTAATCTCAGGAAACAAACGGAGGGTTGCTGGAGTGGTGGGGGGTGGGAGTGATGGGGTGGCTGGGTGATAGACATTGGGGCGGGTATGTGCTATGGTGAGCGCTGTGAATTGTGCAAGACTATTGAATCACAGACCTGTAGCTCTGAAACAAATAATACATTATATGTTTTAAAAAAAGAGAAGATAGTAGGAAGGGAAAAATGAAGGGGGGGAAATCGGAGGTGGAGACAAACCATGAGAGACTATGGACTCTGAGAAACAAACTGAGGGTTCTATAGGGGAGCGGTGAGGAGATGGTTTAGCCTGGTGATGGGTATTAAAGAGGGCACGTACTGAATGGAGCACTGGGTTTTATATGCAAACAATGAATCATGGAACACTACATCAAAAACTAATGATGTAATGCATGGTGATTAACATAACATAATAAAAAAAATTAAAATAAAAAAAAAGTAAAAAGACAACCTAAAGAATAGGAGAAAATATTTGTAAATCATTTATCTATTAAGGTTCTAATATCCATAATATATAAAGAACTCATAACTCAACAACAAACAACTTGATTAAGGAGTAGTCAGAGGTCTTAAATAAATATTTCTCCAATGAATATAAATAAATAGCCAACATGCTGGTAGTGGGAATGTGAAATGGTGCACTTTGGAAAACACTTTGGGTCCAAAATGTTAAACATGGAATCACCATATGAACCAGCAATTCCATTCTACAATAGAATTGAAAAGATATATGTAAACAAATGCATGCATACAAATGTCCATATCAGCACTATTCACTTTAGCCTCAAGGTGGAAAAAAAAAAACCAAATGTCTAGCAACTGATGAGTGGATAAACAAAGGTGGTATATCCATACAATGGAATATTATTTGGCCATGAAAAGAAATGATGTACTGATACATGTTACAACACGGATGGACCTCTAAAACATGCTAATTGAAAGAAACCAAACAGAAAAGGTCACATATCATATGATTCCATTTATATGAAATAATCTAGAATTGGGAAATCTATAGAGACAGAAAGCAGATTAATGGTTTCCAGGGGCTGGGGGAAGGGAGAATAGGCAGTGACTGCTTAATCGGTATGGGATTTCCTTTTGGAGTGATGAAGATGTTTAGGAATTAAATAGAAGTGATGGTTGCATAACATTGTGCCTTTGAATTGCATGCTTAAAATGTTTAATTTTATGTTATGCAAATATAAAATAGATTTAAAAAGCGATCACTCTAGGTGCCATGAGGAGAATGGATTTGAAAATAGCATGAATGGAAATGAGACCAGTTAGAAGGCTATCGCAGTGGTCCAGATAAGAGATGATGGTGGCCTTAGTTAAGATGCTGGCAGTAGGGATAGAGAGAAGCAGATTAATTCAAGTTATTTAGGAACCAATGTTTATAGGACTTGGTGGCCAATAAGATGAGGTATGCATGACAGACATTGAGGATGTCTCTAAGGGTTTAAGGCCGGGCACCTAGTCAAACAACAGCACCATTGGGATTAAAACCCATTTTACAGATGCACAATTAGAGAGGCCATTGGCTTGCCCACTGTCCCACAGTGAGCCAGTAAGGGAAATATGCCCAGTAGTGCTCTCCTGCTCTTCTGACTTCTGGTTCAGGAGCCTTTGCACATAATACAGCAAATATGAGTACTGACTTAAAGAAATCACCTGAATATTTTCAAAAACTGTATAATTGAGATCTTATTTGCCTTCATTTTAATACCTGTGTTTGGAATTCTAAAGTTTTAGCCATGACCATATTCTGATGTAAATACATCTCTCCTCTCTGAGCCCCCAGTGTCTGCCACCTCCCTTTATTATGCTTTCTATCCAAGATTGACAACCCTGAAAGGCCCTTCTTTTATTGACCTTTCCCCTCCATCAACACAATCCAGGAAATGTAATGTAGCCTTTCCTCTGCTCTCTGAAACAATATAATTGTAAGGGACTGAATTTCTGCAGCTTCGAGCCTTCTGGTGTTGAAATAGAGATGAGCCACTCAGAGTACCCCAAGTATAGGGATGAGTAGAAGAGGCTTTGAGCTTGGGGGCTGGGCAGGAGAAAAGAGACAAAGCACGTGACCCTATCATGGGGACCTCAGTCCCAGGCAGCAGGAGGCAGTGGGGGTGGGAGCACAGCAAAACCTCAGCTGCTGGAGAGGAAGAGCCAGGACCTTTTGTCTCATAATGTATGGAAGAGTGTGCGCATGTATGTGATGATGATGATTAAATGGTACATGGTATCAGCGAAAATTGTCAGCACGGATGCTGATTAGGGATGCTGAAGAACTAATAGTATGGAAGGAAACTGGAAAAATTGGGCTGAGTGTGGAAAAGGAATACTAATTACAATCATTTATGCGAACTGCTTACCATTTATGACTAATTACCACCCAACACAATAACCATTAGGTATATCATTAAGTATGTGTCAGATTAACTTTGTTGTCAGTTTTATTTGTGATTAGAACAGTAAACTCTGCATGTATGCTTGCACTTAATAGTTTGTTGCTCATGCAAGCACGGCTGTCAGCTCACAATTTAAAAAAGCATTATGTTAGGGCTGGAGCGTGGCAGGCTTTGAATTCCAGGCTAAGTAGTTTGTAGTTAATTTAGGAGGCAATGGGGAGCCCTTACAGAATAATCAACAGGGAAGGTACATGATCAGTGCTGTACTTCAGGAATCACAGACTGGCAGGGCTGAAAGATTCCTTAGAGATTACTTACCCAGTGGTCACCATCCAGGGGGCACTGGCAACCACACTGAAGGTTCTGGAGGGATTGTCAAGATTTCAGAAAGACTAAAGGGAGTCATGCATTTCTCATGCTGTACATGTTAAGGCTGTACATTTCAACTACGATGTCAATTTTATTTGTTTTGGGCTAAAATTGATCAAACTGGGACAGTGATCAGAAGCATTGATTGGCAGTTATGAAAGTCTGATTATTTTTATTTTTTGAAGGTTTATTTATTATTTTAGAGTGAGAGAGTGAGTGGGGGGAGGAGCAAAGGGAGAGAACCTCCAGCAGACTCCCTGCTGAGCGCAGAGCCCCAACAAGGACCGTGACTTCGACAGTGGCAATGACAACAACAACACAGGGCTTGATCCCACGATCCCAAGATCAGGACCTGAGCTGAAATCAAGAGTTGTATGCCCAACTGACTGAGCCACCCAGGCGCCCCTGATTATCTTTTTTTAATGGGAAAACAAATTAATTGTTTCTTAGCAAATGAAAATTTTAACATTAGATTTTTTTTTTTCTAATCATGGACTCTACAAGTTAAAAACAAAAGGACTTTTGGATTGTGAAAAAGTTGGGAACCTCTATTATAATCCAACCAATCCTTTCATCTACAGATGGGAAAACAGAGCCTAGAGACAGATGAAACTTGCTTTAGAGGAAGACGGACAAGTGGATTTGACAGTACTAATGGAAGGTAAGTGAAACTAGATACCACAAAATCAGTACCAAGAGAGGTGCCTAGATTAGGGTGGTAGAAGCCGATCTACAAAGGAGAAGGGCAGATGGAGAAAATGAAAAGGCAGCATCAGACAGGAGCACTGGTTGGATGTGGGCAGAGAAGAAGAGAGAGAAGTTGAGGAGGACTCTAAAATTTCCAGTGTGACTGAATGGAGCAGTGATGGCATCATCAGCAGAAATATAAAAAGCTGGAGGAAGAATTGGTTTTCGAGTAGAGGGGAATCGTGAGTTTGGTTTTAGAACATATTGCCCATAACTTGTAGTGGTGCATTTTCAAAAAGAGCATGATGATAGAAATTGGAAACACGTGGGGTTGGCTTTTCATAAGGAATTTTTCCTTTGACTCTCGTTTTCCATATCTATAGGTCTAGGGCAATAATATCTGCCTTATAGAATTAGTGAGAGGGTTAAATGGGAGCAAAAATAGAAAATACCTAGCACAATATCTAGCCAAGTGGCAAGAGCTCATTTCTCTTCTCTGGGGGATGTATGGAGATAGAAATGTTTAAGAGGCAGTTAAGAAACAAGGGAGAGTTCAGGAGAGATATCAGATCCCAAGTTATATGTTTAGGATGCAAAAATGTTTTATTTTTATTTATTATATTTTTAACTGTGAAACACAGATAGTGCTTTCCCAGGGTTTCTGGGAGGATGATGTTGCCAGGACATAATACAGGAGAAGCCACACTTACTGAGAGTTTGGGAAGGACTCTAGCAAAGGAACATGAAGAAATGGACAGAGGGGGATAGAGAGCACACTGTCAATGAAGCCAAGGGAGGCAAAATAATTTGAAAGTGGAAGGTGTGGTCCATGGGGTCAAAGGCAGTAAAAAGATCTAGAAAATGAAGACAGAGATGAGGCCATTAGGAAGTCACTTTTATTTTATTTTTATTTTTTTTAAAGATTTTATTTATTTATTTGACAGAAAGAGAGAGCACACAAGCAGGGAGAGTGGCAGGCAGAGGGAGAGCGAGAAGCAGGTTCCCCACAGAGCAGGGAACCCAATATGGGACTCGATCCCAGGACCCTGGGATCATGACCTGAGCCAAAGGCAGATGCTTAACTGACTGAGCCACCCAGGTGCCCAGGAAGTCACTTTTAGAGACCTCAGAGAATTTGGGATGAATTAAATAAGAGGCTAAGTAGCAAGTGAAGGTAAGTCAGTAGAGACAGTAAAGGAAAAGGAACCCTTTCAACATGGACCATGAAACAAGAGGGATAGAGGCGACAGTAACTCAAAAGAGTAGCAGCTATAAGGGAAGGTTATTTCAGGCTACTTAAAACCTGAGCATGTTGTTGGCCAAGGGAATGATAACAGTGGAGAATAGACTGATAAGACAGAAGAGACAGGTCATATTTATAAAGCAAGGTCTCTTAAGAAGTTATTCATAGGCAGCCCCAGGCTGTGGTCACTTTAAAGATGTGCTTAGTGGAAGGACCAAACGTTTAAGCCAAGAGAAGTCACCTGAGGTCAAACCAGAAGCAAGAAATCCATTGGAACTGTTTGCCTATACTTGTGAACAAACCACCCTAAATAAGGAGCTACTCTTCTCAGTGTGCAGGGTACCTTGCATGATTTAGGGACTCTGAGTATGGCTCCTTAAGGCAGGGAGCTCAAAATTCTGTTCCTTAGGATTTTTCGATGCAATTAAGCTTTAATGACAGAGTAATTGAAATTAAACCTTCCTTTCTCTTTAAAGTATGGAACAAGACCCAGATGTTTACTTTTACTATTTAACATTATTCTGGACATACTGGATGATGTAGTTAGGAAAGAGGAAAACAAGAGGTTAAAAAAAATTGGAAGAGAGACTTCTGGAATGGCCATGAGAGAAGCTTTGGCACATTACCCCGGCAAAACAACTATTTAACAGGTAAAAATTATTAAACACACACACACACACACACACACACAAACATTTAAAGTCTCTGGAAATTGGAGAAATGTTTATTCAAGATAATCTACTAAATCTTGGTAAGAAAAATGAGAGTCTGTGTCATTTAAGCCAAATCTGCTCCCAACCCCCACCTTACCCCAGGTTAGTGATAGCAACTCTATCCTTAGGTGTGGCTAAGAAGATGAGGGCTCTCTCTGCCCCAGATTCTAGTCCAGGGCTACTATTTCACAATCAGAAAGGCAGGCTCAGGATAACCTGTGTGGCTCAGTCAGTTAAGCGTCTGACTCTTGGTTTCTCCTGGGGTTGTGATCTTGGGGTTGTGAGATGCAGCCCCATGTTGGGCTCCATGTTCAGCCTGGAGTCTGCTTGGGATTCTCTCTCTCCCTCTCCCTCTGCCCCTCCCCTGCTCACACATGTTCTCTCTCTCTCTCTCTCTCTCTCTCTCACTCAGAGAGAAACGGACCACTGTCCTACCCTGGGCAACCACCAGTCTACTTTCTAGCACTATAGATGTGCCTCTTCTGGGCATAGCATATAAATGAGATAATGTGATATGTAGATTTTGTGTCTGGCTTCTTTCACTTAGCATAATGTCTTCAAGGTTCATTCATGCTATAGCATGTATCAGTACTTCATTCCTTTTTTTTATTGTGGTAAAATATGCGTAACTTAGAATTGACCAATTTAACCATTTTTTTTTTAAGCTACAGTTTGGTGGCATTAAGTACATTCATACTGTTGTGCAACCATCACCACTAACCATCTCCCAAATTTTTCATCATCTGTACCCATTACACAATAATGCCCAATTCCCCTCTCCCCCCATCCCTGGTAACTGCAATTCTACTTCTATGAATTTGACTGTTGGGGTTACCTCATGTTTGTGCAATAATACAATATTTGTCTTTTTGTGTCTGGCTTATTTGGCAGAATCATAGTCTAGTGTGTGGAGATACCACATTTTGTTTACCTGTTCACCAGGTGATGGACATCTGGGTTATTTCCACCTCTGGGCTATTATGAAAACTGCTGCAATGAACACCTGTGTACAGATTTTTGTGTGGACATATGTTTTCATTCCTCTTGGGCATGTATTTAGAAATTGCCAGGTCACATGATAACTCTATGTTTAACCTTTTGAAGAGCTGCCAAACTGTTTTCCAAAGTGACTGCATCACTTCACATTCCCAGCAGCAATGTGGGCTGCCGATTTCTGTCATCCGTGCCAACACTTGCTATTGACTTTTTAAAAATTATAGCAATCCTAGTGGGTGTAAAGTAGTATTTCATTGTGGTTTTGCTTTGCATTTCCCTAATGACTAATGATTTTGAGCACCCTTTCGTGTGCTTATTGGCCACTTTTATATCTTTAGAGAAATGTATATTCAAATGCTTTGCCCATTTTTAAATTGGGTTGTAGTTTTATTATTGGTTTGTAAGAGTTCTTTATATGTTGTAGAAACAGGTCTCTTGTCAGGTATATGATTTGCAAATATTTTCTTCCATATTGTGGGGTTGTCTTTTTACTTTCTTAATGGTGTCATTTGAATCATAAAAGTTTTTAATTTTAATGAAGTCCAATATTTCTACTTTTTTAATAGTTGTTTACACTTTTGGTGTCATGTCTTAGAAACCATTGCCTAATCCAAGGTCATGGAGATTTACACTTATTTCACAAATAAAATACACAGGATTACTGAGAAGATAATCACATGGAAAAAGTTATCCAACTATTTGAAAATCTGTAATATAGTTGTACATAGATACAGGTATATCTTTATGAACTTAGTAAATAACAAGATTTATTGGTAGGTCTATAATTTTGAAGTAGTAATGAGCATGATGATATTTTGAGATATCTATAAGTCTAATGTGATAGGAAAGTATCTGTGATTTCTATTGGTGACCAAGTCATAGGTGTTGTTGATGTTACTTTGGTCTGTTGCTTACAGCATGACAAAAGGAACTGCTACATTTCAATTAGAGGTTAGTAGAATTAAGTTGTAATTTTTTCCTACCCAAGTTAATAGATTCTCTGAATTCTACCTGTGGATCCTAGGTTAAGAACCCTTACTATAGATAAAGTCAAAGCTCCAAATGAATAAGAATACTGTAAAATTTCATTCTAAGGTAACCAAGCAAGATTTACCTATAAAATCCAAATGTTGAGTAATCAACAAAAAGGTAAAAGTAATGTTGAAATGATGACAACTGACTTAGTCTTAACTATTATCTACCTTGGTTGGGGACGATTAATTCAGTGTAGGAAAGTATTTTGGTAGTCCCTTCCTCTTCAAATACAATATTACTATCCTTTTAATAACTGGACTAATGGGATTCAAATTTTATCTAAATACTCTAATTCACTCTGATTCCAACTAAATGTTGAAAACATACATAATTTACTTTCTGGTTGGATTTATTCAAACTGTTCTCAGAAGAGATGAGTTTGTTGAGGCAACCAGCTGCTCTGGGCATTCTCAGGTAGAAAACTGTATTCAATTGTAAAGGGAAAAATACCAAATACTAGAAATAGATCACAGAAGAGAGTGTCTAAGGGAAAAGTTTAATAAGGTGTTATATTTCCTAGCTCACTGGAAACAGATGCCTCCCTCTAATAATCTGTTGATATATTTGCTACTATTATGGTTTTGAATAGTTAATGCATTTACATGGTTCAAAAGTCAAAGTGATATAACAAGGAATCTGGTCTGGTAAAAGTCTGGTAAAAGTCCATTTACCCTGCCCCCCAATTCTATAGGCAGTGATTCTTTATGAAATGAAAGCAAACATCTGTGTTTTTACCCCTTTCTTAAACAAATGACAACATACTATATATACTGTTTTGCACCATGCACTTTTCTCTTAATAGTATATCCTGGTGAATTTTCTATATCAGTGTAGTAAGAGTGTCCTCATTCTCTTTTACAGCTGATGAGCATCCTATGGTGGGAATATACATGCCATTGTTTATTTCACCTATTCTGTCTGACAGACCCTAGAATTGTTTCCAGTCTTTTCTATTTGTGGGTCTACTTTTAAACTTTTACAGGTTTT